GTACACGAAAGTGAATCCACACGTGTCTCCCTGGCTGAAATAATACAAAACAATTTGCTTTATGACTTCATAAATGTGAATATTCTATGAGTCACTATGGCATTATGGCCAGTTGTTCATTTAGGTGACTAAAAAGCAATAAATTCATTAAAAATATCACTGCATGAGTGGGCGGACACTCACTATGAAATTGGATAAAATATAATTGAAAAGTGTTTGGTAAAAAGTAAGATAAAAGGGGTTAGGTAAGCCGATTAACCTGATTTCAGGGAATTGAAGGGGATTTTGTTGGTATTTCTAGTGGTTTTTATAACGATTTAGGAATACTTTATTATCTCATAAGTAATAAATAAACTTTAAAGGTTGGTTAATTATTTCTCCTTGCTTTAGCAGTGTATATTACTTTTCAAGGTCCCTAGTTAAGTTCTTAATGCTATTTAACATAATATTATTTAATTATTTTCCATTTACTTTTGAAAGGTAGCAGACATTCTCTCCGAAACCCTCATTAAATGCATTTATTTTCTTGTTTATTTGCAGATGCAATTTAAAGCCACTTGTGCATAAGAACGTCATGACTTCAGGAGAGTTCTTAGCCATTTTTGAATAATTATATTTCAACAATACCTTTTTGCAGCTCCTACAGGATCTGCCAAGTCATTCGTGGCGAAGAGAAGAAGCCAGACTATATATGTATTTGCCAACTTTATTCAATTTCTGGCATGACTTGCCAATGTTGCCAATGTGGCTGATGGGCCATGGCAACAAGCTGTTGCTGCTGCTCCCGTGAGTTGGCAAAAGCGGCATTGAAGGAATAAAGCAGTATTGAAATTGCTCTTGGCAAACACTCAATTGAAAAGGACCAATTGCTGGGAGTCTACGACAAGAACCCGATGAACTTCTAGGTCAACCTACCATATAAATGTGGGAAATTGTCTGGAATAACTGCATAACATACATAAATGGGATGATACATGAATAAATATCAGGCTATATAAATGTAAGCAGATACTCGGGGTTCATTTAAATCAAATTCCCACAGGCAACGGCATCAATTATGTGGAGTTGCAGCAGCAGCAACAAGTGGTTACCTTTTCCCCCTCCTTTTTGTGGAGTTTACTGGAAAATTGCCTCCGGGCAGCAAATTTAGTGCAATTTTTATTTTGTCTCTGCTACCTCTCTACACAATTTACATTTTTTGCCAACTTTGGCATGCAATGGGCGTGATTAACGACATCCCTTTTTGGCCCCGACCAGGGACTTTTGCCTTCATTCACTTGGTTAGGCATTGAAATTGACACTTTCGGAGGCAAAACGTGGCTAAAACGATAATTAACACTGGCAAATGACAAAGTAAAAGAGAGTATGTAGCTCTGCGTAATGGAAATATTGATTGGCCAAGAGATTGTTATGAAAGTCTCTGGCTGCTAAGGTGGAAACTCAAGTCTAAGATTACATCACGGTTAAATGGAAGGAAACCGAGTCACTTGTGGGGCTTTTCTTTGATTGATTGATCATTGAGACAGATCAGGGATTTTATAAATCTATTTAAAGACATATAATTGTATATTCAGGTGTGTAAACCTGAAACTTTCCATTTCATTTAATCTGTTGCCATGAGACTTGTCATTGTTCTACCCGGAGATGCGTAACCGCATCTTGGTTCTATAATTCCATTGATTAAGATTCATAATCCAAATCTATTCAAGCGTGTCTCATGACGCAGCAATTTTCATATAAATAAATAACTAAATGCTGGCCAGGGTTCTTATCAACAAAAACAATAAGTCAGAGAGTGAATTTTCCAGAGAGGAGAATCAGTTGGAGAGAGATGGAAACAAGAACCAAGAGCATTGCAGCTGCAGCTTTATAAACAAGACTAAGACTGGAACTACTATAATTCAAAAGTTAAGGCTAATGAATACCTATTAATATATATTTATTGAGAGTTTTAGTGTAAGTAAGTAAGTAAGTATCTATGACCAGTAATTAACTATTATCAATAAGTAACTATGAGCAGTAAGTAACTCTGAACACTTAGTATCTATGACTAGTAAGTGACTATGATCAGTAAGTATCTATCACTAGTAAGTATGTAGATCAGTTACTAACTTTGAATACTAATAAACAATGACTTGCAACTTTTGTAACACAACACATTCCTGAGCCTTGGTCGGCAGAAGTCACTTCGTTCCGGGGATGTTAGAACAAGTTGGGAATCATATGTTCTAATATTAACTATGAACAGCAAGTATCTATGAACATTAAGTAACTGTGAACAGTAAGTAGCTATGACCAGTAATTAACTCTGAACAGTAAGTATCTATGACCAGTAAGTAACTATGAACATTTATTATCAATAAAAATGAAGTAACTCTGATCAGTAAGTATCTGTGACTAGTAAGTATGTAGATCAGTTACTAACTTTGAACACTAATAAACAATGACTTGTACTTATTGTGATAGGAAACTTTGATTTAACACACAATAGCCAAAGGTTGGATTTAAACTCAATTTTAATTAGAAACTTATAGTTTCAAGAAGAAGAACAAAAATAATTGTGTTTGCTACGGTGCTTAAGTACACTGGTTGAGAAGCGCAGAGGAGGGCACTTTTCTGAGAGATAGTGAATGCGAGGAAAGTATTATTTTTGAGAGAGAGTAAAAGAGAGGCAAACAAAATTTGGCTTTTGAGAAGCGTAGGAGAGCTCTCATTGTTTATTTTGGAATAATGAGAATTTAATTAGTAAAAAATATGTAATAAATCCGTAAAATTGATCAAAAATATAACATACTGACCCTTGGATTTTGTTCTTTTTTAACAATCTATAACCAGAAATTAACTCTAAACACTACGTATCTATAACCAGTAAGTAATTATAATCAGTAATTATCTATGACCAGTTAGTATGTATGATCAGTTACTAACTTTGAACACTAATAAACAATGACTTGCAACTTTTGTAACACAACACATGTCTGAGACTTGGCCGGCAGAAGTCACTTCGTTTCAGGGATGTTAGAATCAGTTGGGAATCATAAGCAGTGAGTATCTATGAACATTAAGCAACTATAATCATTATATAACTATGATTAGTAAATAAGTATATCAGTAGTTAAGTAAGAGAAGTAAGTAAATATGATCAATAAGTAACTATGAGCAGTAAGTAAGTTTGAGCAGTAAGTAACTCTGAACACTAAGTATCTATGACTAGTAAGTAACTATGATCAGTAAGTATCTATGACTAGTAAGTATGTAGATCAGTTACTAACTTTGAACACTAATAAACAATGACTTGCAACTTTTTTAACACAACACATGTCTGATACTTGGCCGGCAGAAGTCACTTCGTTCCGGAGATGTTAGAACTAGTTGGAAATCATAAGCAGTGAATATCAATGAACATTAAGTAACTATAATCAATAGATAACTATGATTAGTAAATAACTATGATCAATAATAAGTATGAGAAGTAATTAGCTGTGAGCAGTAAGTAACTCTGAACAGTAAGTAAGTATAATCAGTAAGTATCTATGACCACTAAGTAAGTATGATCAGTAACTAACTTTGAACACTAATAAACAATGACTTGCAACAACACATGTCTGATACTTGGCCGGCAGAAGTCACTTCGTTCCGGGATGTTAGAACTAGTTGGAAATCATAAGCAGTGAATATCAATGAACATTAAGTAACTATAATCAATAGATAACTATGATTAGTAAATAACTATGATCAATAATTAAGTATTAGAAGTAATTAGCTGTGAGCAGTAAGTAACTCTGAACAGTAAGTATCTATGACCAGTAAGCAAGTATAATCAGTAAGTATCTATGACCACTAAGTAAGTATGATCAGTTACTAACTTGAACACTGGTAAACAATGACTTGCAACTTTGTAACACAACACATTTCTGAGACTTGGCCGGCAGAAGTCACTTCGTTCCGGGGATGTTAGAACTAGTTGGGAATCATATGCACAGATGTGTGAGATTTGTTTTAGAACAAATTTAAGCCATTTCAAACTATGGATTTATTCTTTTATATAATTTTAGTATATAAGTCGGTTCATGGCGAATCGGTGGACTACATATATACACATATATAGCTGCCATAGGAACGATCGGAAAATTTAAGGAAAATAATTGCAACTTTTCCAGTTTTCAACAGACCTTAAACAAATTTGATACACAGCCACTAAAATTAATTTTGTATTTTGAGTAAAAATTTTTGAAAATCGGACTACTATATCATATAGCTGCCGTTCAAACAATCGTTAAAATAGATAAGAATGCAAACAGTGAATGTAAAACTTATTTTATTTAGGTTTTGAAAATTTATTCTAGAAATAAAATATAAAAACTCATTACTAAGCCAAAAGTGCATTAATTTTAATTGGGAAATCTTTACTATGTTAGTTTTTATTATATTAAAAATCTACATGCTCAATTTAAAATTTTGGAAAATTCTAATTTGTTATAAATGATATTATTTCTATCAAACAATTTAATTTATTTCCCTCGTCTTCCAGGACCTTTGAATAACCCAAATATACCCCATATTTAATATTCTTAGGGTAAGTTTTCGGTCACAAAAACTTGCCCAGACTTTGATAATGACATGGTACAGCCGCTGCTGTATAAATTACTATCAGGACGCTCCGGGCACAGCCCATAAAGAGAGGCCGAGGGAGATAACTGAAACAGTGTGTGATAGTATGCCCGGTATTTTTTCCAATATGTATACTGTTTTTTTTTTGTTTTTCTCCCATTTTTTCGATTTTTATTCCCAGTTTTTGCCTTTGTTATTATTCTTTTTGGTCAGACAAGATTGACTTGCAGTTGTCAGTTGGCAGACGAGCGGCCGAGAAGAGCAACGCTTCGATCGCGACTTTCGATTTCGTTGGACGGGCATCATCTTCGTCGTCGTCGTCGCCATCATTATCATTCCCATCCAGGCAACTCTCAGTAATTATCTCCCAGGGCAGACGTCCTCAGAATCGTTGGTAGTTTTAGGCTTCGCTTTCGGTTTCAGTATCAGTCTTTCAACTCCCGTCGAAGTCGCAACATCATCATTATCATGTGGCTGCTGCTGCCCATTCTGCTCTATTCGGTGATCTTCCTCTCCGTGCGGCACATTTACAGCCACTGGCGACGCAGGGGATTCCCCTCGGAAAAGGCCGGCATCTCGTGGAGTTTCCTGCATCAGGCCTATCGCCGGGAATTCCGGCACGTGGATGCCATCTGTGAGGCCTATCAGTTGGGCAGGGAGCGATTGCTCGGTATCTATTGCTTCTTCAGGCCCATCCTCCTCGTCCGCAGCGTGGAACTGGCCCAGACGATACTACAGCAATCGAATGGACACTTTAATGAACTCAAATGGGACTATGTCAAGGGTTATCGCCGGTTCAATCTGCTGGAGAAGCTGGCGCCCATGTTTGGGGCCAAGAGATTGCACGAGATGTTCGGTCAGGTCCAAAAAGTGGGAGATCATCTGGTTCAGCATTTGTTGGACCTGGAACAAGTGCAGGGAGGTGTTCTGGAGACGGATCTACAGCAAATACTGAGAGTGTGAGGAACTTTCTTTCACTTTAAATAGTTTTCACTTCATTTAACATATTTATTGCTGAATACTTTCTTAGGTATTCCATTAACATTATAGGCAATCTCATTTACGGCTTGGATATCAACAATTTGAGCAAAAGGATCACATCTTCACTAGCTATCTAAAGCAGAGTCAGGTCACCATTCAATCTTTGTAAGTAGGATTTAATCAGGTAGAATTTCCCTTCTAGTATCTAATCTTAAAATATCTTAGCACCTTGGGTCGCCTGCCTCAGAAATCATCGTTTACCTACCGCCTCAGGGATCTCATTAAGCAAAGTGTGGAGCTACGAGAGGATCATGGACTGATACGAAAGGATATACTACAATTACTAGTCAGATTTAGGAATGGCAATGAACTGTGTGGCGATAAGTGGCAGCTGGAAATGAATAATGGTAGCCTTTAAAATTTATTTATTTTAAACGCATTTGAACGTATTTCCCAATATTCCCAGATCAAGAGAAATTTCTGTCCATCAAACGATTGGCCAAAGTGGCCGAAGATCTCCTTAAAACATCCCTAGATTCAGTGGCCTCAACAATAACCTTAACACTCTTTGAAATCCTTCAAGAACCCCTGATTGTGGAGAAACTTCAAGCGGAAATCAAAGAGCTAAGCATTGAGAGTGATGAGCTTAAGTTTGAGCAGCTAGAAGGTCTTAAATATATGGATATGTGTCTTAAAGGTGAGTTGATTCATGGGAAATATCTCGATAATTGAATCATTAATTGTATGTAATCAAATCCCACCAGAAACTGTTCGCAAATATCCACCTTTGCCCATCATCGAACGCATTTGCCGCAAGAGTTACTCGCTGCCCAACAGCAAGTATACCATAGATGAGGGCAAGACCTTAATGATTCCTCTTCTGGCCATACACAGAGATGAAAGGTATTTCAGTGAACCCATGAAATATAAGCCCATACGATTCCTGCATTCCCTTCGAACGGAAGATAATTTGGAGCAATGCCCCGAGAAGAGCAAGAACAATGCCTTCATAGGTTTTGGCATGGGAGGAGCACAATGTGTGGGTAAGTTACTGCTACAAATTCACCTTAAAGAATATAATTAAGGTTCTTCCCCTTAAATTACAGGTCAAAACTTTGCCAAGTTGGTAATTAAGGTGGCGCTGATCAAACTCCTGCACAACTTCCACCTGGAATTGGATGCCACCGTGGCCGAGGCCATGGAAGTTACGCACCAACCTGCCCCATTTATACACACAAAGGATGGGCTGAAAGTCAGGTTGAAGAGACGCGAAATAAAACCAAAACATTATCACTAAACTAAGTTCGGTTTAGGGTTTTAGGTACTCTCACTCTCTCTCACTTTAAGCTGCCAAGTTCTTTAATTTAACCAGCTTTTTTCAACACTTTGTCGTCTTCTGTGTGCGACACATGGAATTATGCTATAAATAAAATTCGGTATATTATGGCTGCTGGTCCTGCTCCTGCCTGCTGTTCTTGTTATTGTTTCTGTCTGTTCCTGTTTGGTCCTCCGTTCGCTTCGTTAACTTTTGCAAAATGCCAAAGGGTCCTCCTCCTCGGGGCACACGGTGCGTATACGTAACAACGGCGCGTTGTCGTCACCAAACGCGACGCATTAAATTAGTCATTCCAATGTCTATGTTGTTGTTTACGTCAACACACACGGCTCATGGATATATATATATATATACTATATAGACTATATGATGAGGAAGACCTGATTTAAGGCTGGCAGACTTCGTATTTCGAGCGGAAAAGACATGTGCTTCCATTTGAGTTTATCATTAAATTTGATTTGCTTTGTTGCCAATCCAACATGACAGTCGTCCGGATAGCTCTGGCCAAGCCTCTTCTTCTCTTACCAGAACTATGCAAAAGTCAAGTCTGTTTGTCCGTTTTGAAGTACACATATCATCTGGATTACACTGAACGCAATTATATGGTAACTGGAGTAGGAGTTTTGATAGGAAACTTTGTGCCACTCATTCATTTTTTCCATATTTTCTATTAAGGCAAAATGTATTTAAAGTTATAACACATTAAATAATTAATAAAAATTTAAATCAAATTGCTAAGATTAGTAAGTTTTCCTTATCCACTCATCTCCTCAAGTTTTCCTTGAACCCAAAACTTGAGAAATATATATTTCCTCAGCTGTCCATTATGATTTTTGCTGAGTGTGCCAATCCACTTGGAATGTATGCTCCATAAGAGGGACAATCAGGGCCGAGAGGCGCCTCTAATGATGCCGCAATTAGGCCGCATTATGGACACATTTATCATCCGCAAAGAGAGAGAGAGAGACAGAGAAAAACGGAAAGAGAGAGAGCTAGAGATGGAGATGTCACAAACAAACGACTCTAATGAGTGCGTAAAGTGTTTTACATTAATGATAACTTTTTGGCCAGCCCCAACTACCCTACCCCCAAAAAAAACTCATCAAATTAATTGAGAAGCCCAGCTGAAGAGCTAAGCTTTTGGGGATAAATGACCTGGAAAGTGTCCGAAATCGACGGCAAACTTTACGACTCTTGCCCTGACCGAAGGCATAAAAATTGAAATTCAATCAAACGAACTCGGCTCTGGGATGTTGTCGGGTTACGGGAGCAGCCAAAGCAATTTAAACCTCTGGCTACGAGAATAGATATAGATATAGATGTGGATATAGGAATCCACAGCAACGAGAAGGACGACGATGACGACAACAACAGGAGCAGCAAGTGGAGCTCTTCACATGTTTTGACCCAGTTCGCGTGGCGTGGCAAGTGTCGAATATAAATTGCATGAGATTCCACCGGGGGAAGCCGAGGGCTTGGACGATGCGGGGCAGGAGCAGGAGGATGCCGGGGGCAAGTCCCTTCGGCACAATCTTCGCTGCCATTGTCCTGGTTACATTTAAACATTACTCATTCCACATTAAGCGGTCAAAATGGCAGGCACGCAGCCCCCAAAACTCTCACAAGTCAAATTTAAAAAGAAATACGGCTTTATTCAAGTGCCCCGACTATGAAATATCCAGTATGCAAATTTTTCTGAGGTAAAATTTATTAAAATTGTGATAATATATCAGATAACAGAGGTAGGGAATTTAATCCATTATTAATCTAATCCCACTACGAAATTCTTAGCTTTCTTAAAGAGAGAAGTTTATAATATTTCCAGTAAGTTACCAATAGAAACTATACCTTTGCTTCATTAATTTTTACATCGGTATTTTTGTCATTATTTATCTCCAAATTTAACAAAAGAGGTATGAATAATAATAAAGTATTCCCAAGCATCTATTATTAAGAGTGTAAATTCCTAATACTATATAATATATCTATCCAATATACCCCATCAATTCAACTTTCAAATACCGGGTAGCAAGAGTAAGTACAAAGTTGCTTTCATCGTTATGTTCTGCTTGGTTATAAATTATGCTACGCAGAAAGCATACAATTTTCATTTCTTCTCGCATAAATTATGAAATATTTCACCCATGGGGACAGACAGAGGGAAAGAAACCCTTTTGCTTTCGCGGCAAGCCCTGCTAATTTTCGTGTAAAGTTGTTGCCCAATTAGGCCTATTAACTTACCATAATTTCCAGATTCGTTTTCGAGGGTTAACTGCAATGAAATACAATAGCAAAAATAAAATCGATTAATCACGTGTACATTTATGGTGCTGTGTTATTGAACTTTTGCCTTTGAAATAAAACGAGATTGCACTCGCATTACAAGCAAACTTGAACTGCAGCAAAAGTGAAAGATAAATTTGTTATAAAGCCAAATAAGAAACACAAAAATAAATCTCAACTTGAGACTGACACAAAAGGTTATCGCCATGTAGCTACTGTTGTTGCAGTTGCCTTTAATTAGCCAATTGACATCTGACTCTTTCGTTTGGCTTTTATTGTTTTTGCCTGCAACTTTGTGCCAGGTCTCGGCTAAAGTTGTGCAACACATTTGGCAGCTTAAATAAAGTCGCTTAAAATGCATTTAAGTGGCTTAACTAGGGAAAATAGAAATTTGAGTGTTTTGTTTTGTTTAGCATGTAAGATATTTGCATAAGAATAAGCAAAAATTTCTTTGAATCATTTCATTTTGCATGACAAAGATATTTGTATAATTTAAGTAAGGTATTTGTAAGCAAATTGTGTTTGTTAAGCATTATTTGGGGGGGGGTAACTTATGTAACTAAGTTCAAGTTTACTTTTAATTTAAAATCACATTACTAAAGCAAACATTAAACCTTCCTTGCTGTATTTTAATATGGTTACAGGGTAGCTTAGTTATGATATTTTAAAAACTGTGCTTTACCCATAAAGTAAGCATATAAAAATTTAAAATCTATAGTTTAAGATACCTAAAATTAATTGAAATTGACATTAAAACCCATGATCCTATGGCTATGATTCGGCTTCTGAAAGTAAGTTTCATTTCTCGCTTACTATTAATTGTTTTTAATTAAATACTTTTTCTTAAATACTTCTTCAAAATCTTCAAATAATTATTACGGGTATTATTTCAAGTTTATTTTAAAAGAATTTCCCTTGTGACTTGTGGTGCTGAATTTGTAAATTGTTCTGCTTATCATTGCGTACATTAAATGCTTGTTTTTGCTGACTCGCACAATTATCTTCGCTAATTGGATGAGAACTTTGCTCGTCCAAAAATTTTCCCACTTGCAGCATGGCTAAGAAAACCAACACTTAAGTGGCGGCCATCTCATGTGTCTTGTCGCCGCAGAATTCATTCGCCCAACTGAGCTCCAAAAATATAAAAACTGAGAGATAAAACACCAACTCGAGTAGAAGTAACCGACGACCTCTGAGGGTCAGCAGTTGTAATAAAACCAAATAAATGCTTGGCCTTTAATTGTGCTCTCTATCTCTCTGGCACTCTTTTTATTCTTTCTTTTTTTATGAATATTTGTTTAATAATTAAAGTTAGCCGGGGTGTGTGAGTGAGTGTCTGTCTGTTTGTCATGTAAGAAGATTATGATCATTAAGAGCTGGGTGACTCTCTTTGGGCGGCGTCAGCGGAATGACAAATTGTGAGGGAAAATTGCACTTGAGCATTTTGTGAAACAGTTTGACTTCGAAAAGTATTTCTTTCTTAATTTAAATATTTTAAAAAGTAACTAGAACACACTAGGAATGTAATGTATATTATATATAGCATCTCTTAATCTCTTGTCTTAGTATAATCTTCATTCTTTGATATAGTTTTCCCTATTAACGAATCCCCACTGTTGCGTCATGGTTTTGGCTTATGTTGGCTGGCTGCAATGGGTTAAGAGTTGTTACTTTTTCAATTTGTGTGCACTGCATTCCCATAATTGCCGCATGGAGTTGCATGCTCAAACTGTAGGGACGCCTGCACACACACTCCTCACAAACACATGATGTGCTTCTTTTTATTCCTAGGAGTGCAGATGATGATGAGGAGGAGGAGGAGTAGGAGGAGGATGCTGCTGTTTGCTTGCAGCTGTTTATTGTTGTTATTGGCGGCTCTGGTCCACAGTTGCTTTAATTATTATTGTCAGCCAAACTGTCGCGGCTGTGGCGGCTCTTTCTTCGCATCTTTTCTTCACTACTTGAGGTTCCCTCTTTGCATTATACATATATACATATATATTTTTTATATCTGCTTCCGACTTTTAATTAATTTATGTGTCTGTCACACATTTACCGTGCTGCTTAAATAGTGCGTTGAATTCAGGGAGATATGTAGTGGAGGCGACACTTGAAATTAATTCATTATCTCACTGGGCATGGGGGTTACGGACCAGATGACCTGCTTTTACTTACATTTTAACTATACAAAGATACAAATTTAACAAGTTGAAGAAACTAAGATACCAATTTATATAAATACACAGTTTATCTTAACCTTGTTTGATCCCTGAGTCCCAAGCAAAGTCTGCCACTTTCATGAAAAGGATCTAAATGACAGTCATTAGCAACAGGAAATAAATTTCCCTTTCATAATCTATGAAATTTAATCAAACTTAAACTCTAAAAATGTTCCCGAAATGTAACCTTCTTAATGGCCAAAATCATTTAGCCTTCATTTTCAATTACGCAGCGTAACGAAGTGCCGCAAGCGCATTTATCAAAATGCCAAAACTAGATAACTTAATTAAAGCACCCCCCCGAAAATCAATCTGCATATATAAGTATATATACATCTATATATATTCTATATGCGAGACTGTAATCGAAATCTGTAAAGCCGCAAAGGCCCCTTGCCACCCACAAACACACAAACAACATCCGCCGCTTATCGCGATAAATCAAAGCCACGAGTGTTGTTAATTTTCCAGGAAATTTTCGGGGGATTTCCCCCCGCAAAATATATACAAAATAAGACCCAAAAACGTGAGTGAATGTCCGTGAATGTGCCATGCGTAATAAAAACAACTTGAATTTATGTTTTCACGGCAAACAAAAAATTATCTCAAGCTGGAAAACTTCTTCTCCAGTCTGGGATGTGTGTGTGTGTCTCATTTTTGTGGCAAGTTGCTAATTCTAATTAAAAGCAACAGTCTTTGGGGTTGGCAGCACACTCAAGCAGAAAATTATCAACTCCGCGGAGAGAGATGTGCAGATGAAGATATGGCAGAGTTAACTAAACTTCTGCTTGGCTAGACCAAAAGATGTTTCTTGAATAAGAAAAACAAAAAAAAAATAAATAAGAAAAGGAGGAAAACCGGAGGGGAAAATGAGCAAACCCCTGGTAGACCAGGCCAAAATTAAATTGTGCACATTTCCGTGGAGCGGAAATTGCCCGAGTTTGTCACTTGGAATGGGAGAGAATCTGTGAGATGTATGTGCGGTATACACATAATGGAGAATTCCCCAAAAACAGCCATGAATATGAATCCCCAAAAGCCTACCTTCCGCACTGCCTCTGGCTCAGTTTCAAATTGAAATTCACATCATTCACTTTAATGCGAACAGGTGTAAATTATGTGTATTAATTTATGCATTTTCTGGTCTCTACACATTGTAAAGCCTCCCCGCGGTGGGGAACAAAACGTTTCCATTGCATTTAGCCAGAAATTAGCGGATATATTGTGGAAAACTCCTGTGACCCGTGGCCAATTTGCACTGATAATTAAATTAAATGCCTAATTAATTACCATTATAGAGGTGTGTGTGCACTGCATTCTGAAAGGCTGCAAATGTGCAAAATGTAATCCCCCCACGAACAGAGTCCAAAACTTATTTAATTTATGATCGATTATAAATCAAATTACATGCTTAATTATAACAATGCCACGCCGGATGACCCAAATGCAGAATGCACACAGGTAAATGTAGTAAAATGTGGATGGAATACTAAATTTGGCATTATTAGGAGCATAGAATTAGGAAGACTAAATCAAAGCTAAATTTTAGAGAGTTTATCATAATAATAATAACTATTTGAATTGGTAAAGTAAATATATCTTTAATTTCAAATACAAATATATTAATAGATTATCAAAACCAAGTGTCTTTCCAAAGAACTTCCTTTTAAGAAATATAATCTTACTTTTCCTTGAAAATCTTATAAACTCCTTATCCTAATACAACCTTTCAGCATCTCTTCTCATCCTCCTTGGCATCATTAATCCCCAAATCCTAAGCAACTTAATTTACTGTCTAAATTTACTCTCTTCCTTAGCCCCATAAAACCCAGCTGGAGCTACATAGTCATCAAATTGGCTTCTTCATCGAGCTAAGCACTTCACCAGCCGGATGAACCTTTGACTATCTAATTCCGGTTCTAAGCTATATATACCTCTATTACCTAGGGCAGCCTCTGCAGCTGATCCTGTGCCAGGAAATATGCACAGCTTCTTCTCTAATTTACTCCTGGCTGGCACTCATAACTCAATCCCCGTCTTGGCCCATCCGAGATGCATCGCGATGCTACACAGAAAATTAAAGTATTAGTAGTAGGTAAATTATAACTTAAAGGAAGGTAAACGTACACTATCTAAATATAAAAATTTGGAGTTAAGGTTTAGACAATGTTTTGTATTGTACAATTTCCCACTGCTCCCCAAATCTAAGATATATTTTGTGCTACTCCTTTTTTTCTAGGTGTACACTTTGGTAGGAGTATCTGGCATCTGGCTAACCCTTAAGCCACATCCAGTTGCATTGACAAAATTTCACTTTGGATGTCCCTGCTGTCTGCTATCTGCCTGCTGCTGTGGATTGCAAATGGCAAAAGCTTTGGAGACTGCAGTTGGTTGCATGTTGCATGTTGCAGCTTGGGCAAAAATGAAGGGTTTTTACAGAGTGTGGAGTTGGCATGAAGCTCTTCCACGTCGCGCTGTCACATGCCACATTCTGGCAACTCTTTTTTATACAGGGTATGAGAAGATGAGCAAGGTGTATTAGGTTTTCAGAGAAATATCACCAAGTAAATATCTTAATCCAGCTACTTTTACTAGTTCTATATGTGTTAATGTATTAGATTTCTGCAAGATCTTATAGAGTTCATATATCAACTTTTATAAGAGGTCACCTCCTAGTCGACCCTAGCCTTTCTTAATAGTTTTTCCGTAGCTTGTCGGCATGATTTTCGCAATCAGTGGAAAGCAGCTTGAACCGTTGCAGTTCCAGCAT